AGTTAAATTCTACATTCAAAACGGTAAGGTTTAAAGTCAATCCCTCAGGAAAAAATGGGAATATGTTGCAGTAACTGAAAAACAGTTGAATAATTAATATCTAAAAATTAAAAAGTATTTAAAAGTCCACCACAACCACTGCCAAATAAGCAAATGGTACTTTCAGTTTGCGGCCAGTAAGACCAATAATGTAATCCTTCTCCAGTTTTCTAACGACAGATGTATCTACATCACCAGCACCCGTACAATCAACAATCTCAACAATTTTTCGACGGCCAGTACTCGTCACCTGAACTGCCTTAGTGAAAAAAAAATCACATGATGGTTCTTCTCGAGCAATAATGAGGATAAAACATGACTACGGCCAAAAATCTCTCTCAAAGCACATTAAAAGGCGAAGAAATTAATAAAAATTAGGTGAATAATATCTAGTAGAAAGGCTTAAAAAACGGAAAAAACACAAGCGTGACTTCTCAGTAAACTTGCCTGCAAACCAGGAAGAGATGGATCAACACCAGTGTCCAGTATTGCAATTGTTACTCCTCGACCATCGAAATCAGGATATTTGGTAAGGAACTGTTCCTAAATCAATTCAGAGATAATAACAGTTTCACCTTACCTACAAAGAGTTAACGTATTCTAAAATAACCGGTGAATGCTTTTTCTGCTAACAAAAATAATGTTAAAACTAATTTTTAGAGAAATGTTACTGAACTTGATACAGTAGTTGAATAGCAAAAAATATGAAATCTTTATTAGTAGTAAAACAACTAATAGTCCAAAATGCTGCAGTATCTACATTCAGGACGACGATAAATAGGTCATTTTTAGCACAGCATTCTCTACTGCATAATAAATACCTGCTGAGTTTCGGCTCTTGGCATCAGTGAGTCCATACAGAAATCTGACCTACTTACCGTAGGACTGTCAGAAATATATACCATTATGCAGTGATTAGTGTAAACCTTTAGACCATTAGATGTTACGTCTAAACAAACTGAGATTTTGCAAAAAAAAACTTACTGAACTAATATCGCTAACAATCCACGTGTATCACAACAAAATACATGACTAATAAAACAGAAAGTCAACAAAATCCCTAATCAACAAAAAACCGCTGAAGTTGTATAATAAAATGTAGTTGCTGAATTATAGCCCATTACCACATATATTACTACTATGTACTTCACGAGGTAATAATTAAGCCAGATATTACTAGTCACCTAGAAAAATCTTCAATTAAAAGCTTTGCAAAACGATCGGTATCCTTATAGGTGGTCACTCAGCCTGCAAAACGACATCAATAATCAAAAAAATTAGAAATATACTATCACATTTTAGATTCCAATTCCTTCAATTTATAGAAAAACTCAACAGAAGAACAGCTACCACTATACAATTGACGACACAGCCGCACACTTAGAAAAAACATGCAGTTTATTAATTGGTCACCTACCAACAGGGCTGCTACTAGCAGATTATAAGGATAGTCGAATAAGCCAAATGAACGCAAAGCGAGTGCGATTTAAATTTCACAGCACTAGCACCCTTTTTGTTGTTGCATAAGGAGCTAAGAACCAGGGTTAGTCGGCCAAAGCAACGTGCAGATACATTTCGTAAAACAAAATATCAAGACAAGTTCTGAATCCTACTTAATTTACCTATCAGGGAACCAGTGAAAATGCTGCAAGCAACTTTCAGTCAGAAATGCTCACTGCCGATATCCCAGCTGAGTGACAGAATAAACACTATTGCTGTTGCTGCCCTAGCCGAGACTTTTGGACGCTTCCAGTAGGACTTGTAAAGTTCATCCAACAAAAAACCCCATCAACCCATCTGACTGTCGTATTTCATATTTTTGCCAAACCGGAATATTTGCTGCCTTTCGGCTTTCTGATTATTGTACATAAAGGGACTATGTAGCAAACTGGCATCGGAAGTTGTCAGCAAGTCGCTTTTTGGTTGATGGAGTTCCCTTAGAAATTTAGCATTGCATTCTCAGCTCTTCCATTTATTTATTTTTTGAAACACTGCTCGCGTGGATTGATGACAAGGATAAAAGATCAACTTTTGCGTTCATCCTAGGACCAAAGTAACAAAATGTGTCTACTTCCTTAGGATACTTCCAACCATTTATCAGTCCCTCCATGACGCTCTCAACAGATTTATCAGTAACTACCGAATAAAACGTTTTCACTATGAATGCACCCAATGACTCGCTTGAAAAAAGAAAAGAAATTCACTTTTCCCAACAACTTCCGCAATTCTGAACTCATTCCTCATAAATACACTTCTGTAGCTTCTGCCAGATTATGACACCACAAAACATAGCGCTCCACGTTATAATCCACTAGTTTCTTACTACCCTTTTTCAGAACACTATAAAATAATAGGTCTTAGCAGGAGACTCTAATCTTGTCGCTTTTTCCAGACAGTTCGACATTTTTCCAATAAATTAGACACATAAAGTCAGTTTTCATTTTTTACTCATCTACAACCAGCCACCTCCATCCCGTAGGATCAACACCACAACAACTTCGGTATCTAACTTTCCCTCCCAATTACGTTCATCGTAAAGTTTGCGGATGGCTTTTGAAAACGAACGATTAGTGAAGCAAGAACCACCAAGGAGAACTGCTAAATCTCCAAAAGACTTCATGACAATTGAAAACAGAAACTCACATTACAGAAAAGAAAGAAAAAACTGGCGCTTTTTGTATCTTAAATATTAATTTTCAACTGCTATAGGTAGAAAGTCTTTATAAACCCATTCAACCTTGCCGGAGTAATCTAAAAATTCGACATTTTAAAAAATAATTTTGGAATAAGCATTGCAATTTTCCCGTAACTAGCAGAATACCCTTTGCTTGAATTAGAAATTTTACGTAGATTCCCAACTTTCCCTTCAATTCCAGTTTTATAATGTATTGTTGAAGCCTAATATCTCAAAAATTGAATACTTTCATGCTTTGTTCGGTATTCCAACTACAAAAGCAATTTTTCCGCACACGACAGAATAAGTTTCGCCTCCTACAACAGACCACATGAAAAAACGAAAACGGTTAGAGCCCAAACCAATATCTGACCATCTTTACTCACCGAATAATATGTATACCATGCGAAAATTTTTGGTTTTTTTCTGCAGAGTTGCAAAAAATTGAGTTTTTTTTAAGGGTTCACACAAATCAGTTTCTTATACTTTTGAGACAATTGAATTCTTTTTTCGTACCGCTCAAACCTTCCCATTGATGCAATCCCAAGTAACCAAACAGCAGAAGATTACTTGGTCAAAGCTATAGAAAAAATAAATTTTTGAAATCAGCGAAAGAACTGATATTAATAAAATCTTTTATATGTAAATTCTCACAAAAACTAAAAAATCTTCTGCTCATCTTCTGCGCATTATAGCCAGTAACTTTATAGTCTCATATATTCTTATAAATAACAATTTATGCCCCTGTAAATAATAATCAAAGGTTGATAAGTGCTAATCTTCACCCATTTGTGATCAGTTAATTGGCAGACCGTCAGTCATTCTGACAAATTTAATCTTTAGCTTTTTCAGCAATGACTCTTCCCACTGCATTTTGCTACTCTCATTCTCACTGTTAATTTTCAGACCATTAATTTGCTGTTAACAGAAAGTTTGCCAGTAGTCTGCAAGTTGTAATGAAAATTTCTATCATTGATTGATTATTCTAGATTGTAATAATGTTAACAGTGTTTTCCATTTTGTTCTGATATCTGTAAGGAAGAAGTTGGAAAAAAAACAATCCTTCCTTGC